CAAGCATAGAGTTTGCTGGCATCCACATAGATTTTACCTGGCTCTTCAGGGGAGAGGAGACTCCTGGGCTATCAATTATATATATGGGTTTTCAGAGCGCTGTATGCCCAGATAACTTCGTACACCCTTCTCCCTGAATACCAAAGCTCAGTACTAACACTCCAGCCATGGTAAGGAAAATGGGCCAGTGTCCACATTTAGCCAGGGCAAGCACATGAGTATGTTGTCATTACAGCGGCCCCCACTTTATCAGCTGGATCAAAATGTGGGGCTCCTATTTCCAGGAACAACAAAAGCAGCCCACAGGTGTGGGTGCTTCCTCCTTGTCTGAATCTCTGGACAGAGAGGTATGCTTCAGAAAGACCTGCTTTAGCAATTTTCCCTTCTCTCCTACAACTCTATTCTATTCCACATGTAAACCTGCTCTTGTATCAAACAAATAGGAAAACCTTCTCTTGCCCCCCACCCCTAGCTACTGACATTTCTCTGCTCCCATTCATGTATGAGCAAAATTTCTCGGGAGTTGATTATAGCTGATGTAACTAGAGCCTGGCCAACTTTGACCTACTCTACCTGTGCTTCCACCCTCACCATTCCACAGAAAGGGCTCTTGTCAAATCACCTATGACTTTTGTGTTCCCAAGTCAATGGCCACTCTTGTTCTCATCTGGCTGGATCTCTCAGCAGATCCCATTCTCAGCAGATCCCACACTCAGCTGGTCCCACTCTCACTGGATCCTACTTCCTGTAGATCCCACTCTCAGTGGGTCCCACTCTCAACAGATGCCACTCTCAGCAGGTCTCACTCTCAGCAGATCCCACTCAGTAGATCCCACTCCCTGCAGATCCCACTCCCAGCAGGTCTCACTCTAAGCGGGTCCTACTGTCAGCAGATCCCACTCTCAGCAGGTCTCACTCTCAGTAGATCCCACTCTCAGCAGATCCCCCTCACTGTAGATCTCACTCTCAGCAGGTCTTACTCCCAGCGGGTCCCACTCTCAGCAGATCCCACTCCCCACAGATTCCACTCTCAGCAGGTCCCACTCAGCAGATCCCACTCTCAGCAGATCCCACTCCCTGCAGGTCTCACTCTCAGCAGGTCCCACTCTCAGCAGATCCCTCTCTCAGCGGTTCTCACTCTCAGCAGATCCCACTCTCAGCAGATCCTATGCTCAGCAGGTCTCACTCTCAGTGGGTCCCACTCTGAGTGGGTCTCACTCTCAGAGGGTCTCACTCTCAGCGGATCCCACTCTCAGTGGATCCTACTCTCAGCAGATCCCACTCTCAGCGGGTCCCACTCTCAGCGGGTCCCACTCTCAGCGGGTCTCACTCTCAGTGGGTCCCACTCTCAGCGGGTCCCACTCTCAGCGGATCCCACTCTCAGCAGGGTCTCACTCTCAGCAGGTCCTACTCTCAGCGGGTCCCACTTGACACAGCTGATTCTTCCCTCTTCTTTCTAACATGTTTTCTTGCCTCTCTCTTGCTTTTCCTCTTCCTTCACAGACTCTTCCAACACCTCTAGATCCCTCATGTCGAGTATCCTAGGATCAATTCTAGCACCCTGTTCTTCCTTGTCTAGACCCCTGAATTCCTATCCTTTCCAAATGCTAATGACCTGCAATTGTATAACCTGATATTTCCACTTAGATGTCTAGTAGGAATCTCAGATTTAAGATATCCAAACTAAACTTTCTGTGGATCTCACCCTCCATACCCATTTCTGTTACCATGACTTATCCAGGAGTTCCAACCAAAAATGTAGGTGTAATCTTTACCTCCACCCTTTCCTTCTCATACCAACGATATCAAACTCACCCTCATGTTGCATTTGATGCTACCTTTATTATTATTATTATTAGAGACGGAGTCTTGCTCTGTCACCAGGCTGGAGTGCAGTGGTGCAATCTTGGCTCACTGCAACCTCCGCTTCCTGGGTTCAAGTGCTTCTCCTGCCTCAGCCTCCCGAGTAGCTGAGATTACAGGCGTGCGCCACCATGCCCAGCTGATTTTTGCATTTTTAGTGCAGACAGGATTTCACCATGTTGGCCAGGATGGTCTCCATCTCTTGACCTCGACCTCGTGACCATGCTGGAATTACGAGGCTTGAGCCACTGCACCTAGCCTATTGCTATTATTTTTGAGATGGAGTCTCATTCTGTTGCCCAGGCTGGAGTGCAGTGGTGAGATCTCAGTCCACTGCAACCTCTGCCTCCCAGGTTCAAGTGATTCTCCTGCCTCAGCTTTCTGAGTAGCTGGAATTATAGGCCTGTGCCACCACATGTGGCTTTTTATTTTATTTTATTTTATTTTATTTTTTTATTTTTAGTAGCGATGTGATTTTATCATGTTGGCCAGACTGGTCTGGAACTTCTGACCTCACATGATTCAGCCACCTCAGCCTCTCAAAGTGTTGGGATTACAAGCATGAGCCACCACGTTCGACCTGATGCTACCTTTAAATTGTAGTTTGAATCCATCTGCTTCTCTCCACCTCCAACACTTACTTTAGACAAGGCCACCATGATCATTTTTATAATTAGATCACCTCCGGCAAACCTTTCACTAACCACCCAATCTCACGTAGTTCTGCCATTACCAACACCTTCTATTCTAGGCTCATCATTGAATTTATTGCTATTTTTACTTGGGGTTTTTTGGTATATTTTATACTTATTCATTGTGTCCCCCCACCAAATAAAACAGATGTGGTACAAGGTTAGCCTGTTACTTGTTTATTCATCAGCTGTCCCTAAGCCCTCATAGAATGCAGGCACTGAAGCATCACCTGAATGAGGTGAAGGAATGAATGAAAACACCACATAGTTGAGGTAGGTGCTCACAATTAAAAATTATAAACGCTCCTCTCCCCTTTTCCAGTCTGTCTAAGGAATTGATGGACGAGGGTGTCCCTAAAACACAGGAGCCCCCAAGGTCAAGTTCAGTGCTTTCATGCCTATGTTGTCTTTGAGGCCACAGATTCACCTCTGCACCAGGCCTTTTAATTTTTTTTATGTTTTTCTGAGACGAAACGTCACTCTGTCACCTAGGCTGGAGTGCAGTGGTGCGATCTCGGCTCACTGCAACCTCTGCCTCCCGAGTTCAAGCAATTCTCCTGCCTCAGCCTCCCGAGTAGCTGGGATTACAGGAACCCACCAAACCCAGCTAATTTTTTTGTATTTTTAGTAGAGATGGAGTTTCACCATGTTGGCCAGGTTGGTCTCAAACTCTTGACCCCGTGATTCGCTGAACCAATGCTTTTTAAAAATGGGGATGTTGGCTGGGTGCAGTGGCTCATGCCTGTAATCCCACACTCTGGGAGGCTGAGGCAGGAGAATCGCTTGATCCCAGGAGTTTAAGACCAACCTAGGCAACATAGTGAGACCCTGTCTCTACAAAAAAATTAGAAGATTAGCCAGGTGTGGTGGTGCACATCTGTTGTCCCTGCTACTTGGAAGGCTGAGATGAGAGGATTGCTTGAGCCCAGAAGCTCAAGGCTGCAGTAAACTGAGATTATGCCACTGCACTCCAGCCTGGGAGGCAGAGCAAGACCCTGTCAATAAAATAAAATAAGTAAAATATAAAAATGGGCTATTACTCAAGGATAGTGTTTAAAATCATGGGCCTTGGAGTCACTTTCCAGGTGCATACTTGCTATGGGATCTTAACCTCAATGTGCCTCAGTTTCCTCACCTGCAAAGTAGCTGTAAGTACTTACCCTGAAAGGACCGTGCAGAGGATTCTAAATTACATTTGAAATACAGAGCAATGGCTGGCTCAGTAATTGACCACCCCCCATCTTTCTTTTTAGGAAAACCAAGGCTGGTAATTCCTTGCAGGCTTTTACCATCTCTGCTGCTACTCTGGACTTCCGAACAGCCCCAGGTTTCAGCCGGTTATGACAGAAGGGTCACGACCTCCATGCTGAAGGTGGTAACTGCAGGGCCACCCCACAGTGAATTCTCCCAGTCTCCTAAAAATGGCACCCTTCTAACTCACCAGGCATCAGAGAGAATTAAACCAAGTCCTCAAATACGCACAGAATATCAGCATCTGCTTGAACGAAACCAAACCAAATACTTTCGATCTTACAGTGTAATCTGCCACCTCAAAATGGTTCATCTGAAATCATATGCTAATAGGAGACACGACGGTTTTGGGGTAATCAGAGCCAACATGATTTCTGCCAGTTAAAATGACTCACAGATGCCTCAGCTTTGGGAGCAGGGCTAAATGGATGGAGTTGTTGTGCTAGAGCATGTTCATTCGCGGAATTCAGTATTGACATTCTCTATGAGAATGCAATTAGTAAATCAATTTGGTTGGGGAAAAAAAAACTGACCCAGGGCTTTCTCAATAAAGGTAGGCTCAATCAACTTGTATAGTACCAACAGGTAAAAAAAATAATATTCTTGAAAATGGAAAATACAACAAAAGTAGCAAGACCCGTAGGGTATATAAAATCAAATTATAGTATGTCATGAAGTTGTACTGATTCTGAAGGCTAAATGTCCCCAGCTATACGTATTCCCAAGGAGATCAGCTTGTTCAAAGGAACAAATTGGAACTGTTTTAAACAGTAAAGAGGTATTATGTAACCAAGACAATTCTGAGATTTCAGATGTTTTCCTTCTCCTTGGTTTCTCCACACTCTGCATTCATGGGTCATACTGGCTGATGCACTGGCAACCCAGCTTTCAACAGAAGTGTGCAGGTTCAATTGATTAGATGCTGAAGAATGATAACTTCTTAGGAAATTTTGTATTTTTAGTATGTCCTACTAAACAGATGAAAAGAGTTAAAAACCCTACATTACCGTCTGTCTTCCAAAATTCTCACTGGGGAAAAAAAAAACCCTCGAAAACTCAAACTCCACAATTAACCCAATTCAGAATTTTAAATGAGGTATGTATGAAGCAAAACCCTATTTGCTGCATTTAACTGATTGCTGGAGGATGTTCTCTAAACCTGAGTAGAAATAACATTTACACTTAAAACAGAGGCATGTTTGAAACCTTTTATTAAACAGGCAATGCATTGTGCAGTGGTTAAAGACACAGATGCCTAGTGGAAAAGTTTAAAAATTATTCTGGAAACAGTCTGTGAATTGATGAACCCTGCCATGTTCCTTCATCTCCTTCTCAGAGTGCCTGCCTTTAGGAAAACAGATTGTTTTATAGCTGCTCTTGGAAACGGCATCCCTGTTTTACCATGAATGTCATGCCTCGTAGAAAACAGGAAGGAAGACAGGATCCACAGGCAAGACAGCAACCAGAGACGAGGGCTGATCTCGGCTGGAAGCACAGCCGTCCCTTCTCCTAGAAGGGCTTCTCTTCTGGCCTTTGCAGGGTGTCCTACTTATGTGTCCAATTTCATTTCCATTTTCTTCCTTGTCTGAGGCTTCTTTATCAAGGGAATTCTAAAAGACACATTCGTACCTTTGGGCACAGGAACTGGTTCCTGGACTTTTTCAGTGTTGTTCTTATTTCTGGCCCTCTGGCCCAGGAGTATGGCTGTGTGTTTATCCTCTCTGTTTTGCCTGGTTCCTTCCTCTTCCCCGAGCTTGTCACAACTTGATGATAAAATCAATCTTTAAGTTTCACAGTTTGTTTGCCATGATATACTGGCAGTTTTTAACTCAGTGGCTTGTCAGGGTAGTGGACATGCTTTATCAGCACACTGTCCACCTATTTTATAATCTGGGGCATGTCACTCCAAGCTTGAGATTTCTTTCTGGCAAGTTCCATCCAGGATGGCTGATCTGTACTGGCATAACTGGCTCTCTTTAGCTGATGCAATTCCTTCTCCGTCATCACTGCAGACTGAGCTGCTTGGAAGGGAGACAAAGCAAACAGAAACATGAGCAGTGACTTTGAATTTTCCCTTAAGCCTCTTGTGTTTCCTGAAATAGACATCAAGGTCTTAATTACGTTCTCAAACGTAAAATTCAATAATATGTGAACATATAAGAAGATCTAGTCCGAGAATATGTTGTTTATGTGATAAAAAAGACTTATGAGCAAGCTCAAACAGTCTGGCAATGCAATGAGGTGGGAGAGACTTTGGAAATAAAACAGCAGGAGCTCTGCAGATGGGCTGCACAACAGTGTCCCTCTACTTAAAACTACTGCACTGTACACTTAAAAATGGCTAAGATCGTAAACTCTGTTATATGCCTTTCACCACAATTAAAAATACATAAAAATTTCTTTCTTTCTTTCTTTTTTTTTTTTTGAGACAGATTCTTGCTGTGTTGCCCAGGCTGGAGTGCAGTGGTGCCATCTCAGCTCACTGCAATCTCTGCCTCCTGGGTTCAAGTGATTCTCTTGCCTCAGCCTCCCAAGTGGCTGGGATTAGAGGCATGCACCACCACGCCTGGCTAACTTTTGTATTTTTAGTGGAGACAGGGGTTTGCCATGTTGGCCAGACTGATCTTGAACTGCTTACCTCAGGTGATGCACCCGCCTCTGCCTCCCAAAGTGCTGGGATTATAGGCATGAACCACCACAGCCAGACTAAAAATTTTTAAATACTGATACATGACACTATGCTCAGTAAAAGATGCCAGACATAAAAGGGCACATACGTTAGAATTCCATTCATTAGAAATGTCCAAAAAAGGTAAATCTATAGAGACAGAGTAGATTAGTGGTTGCCTAGAGCTAGGAGTGGGAGTGGGAAGTGACTATAAATGGGCATGAGGTTTCTTCTTAGTGTGAGGGAAATATCGTAAAATTAGATTGTCATGATGGTTGTGCAACTCTGTAAATACAAACGAGCTCACTGTCAATACACACTCATCCCCTGGCATATGCCGGGGTTTGGTTCTAGGACCTCTCCCACCTGCATATACCCAAATCTGGGAATACTCAAGTCCTGCAGTCAGCCCTGTAGAACCCACATACACAAAAAAATGGCCCTCTGTTTTCTCAGGTTTCACATCCTGAGGATACAAGTAATTTTCCATCTGAGTCTGGCTGGAAAAAATCAGCATTTAAAAGACCTGCACAGTTCAAACCTATGTTGTTCAAGAATCAACCGTATAATGAACTGTACACTTAAAACGGATGAGGTTTATGACATGTAAATTATATCTCCATAAGAGCTGTGTAGAACATTCCATGTGGCAAGTAATTCGTAAAAACCAAACCAAAACCCAAACTGCAGGAATGACCCAGGAAAATGACTTCAAAGTATGTGGTAATGCTTGAGGAGTTCATACCCAAGTTCTGATGGGACAATGAGATTCCTCTTTGCAGCCCCTCCTTGAGGTTGAGCTTTGCCCCCTGCTTCCGGTCCACAGCGGGCTTCACAGGGGTTATCAGGAAAGACTTGCTGCGGACAAAGTCAGCTTGCTTCACATGCTCCTGTCGAGACACAAGACACATGCTGCCAAGTCCCCAGTGATTCAGACAGGGGCAAACACAATCAGAGAGAAGAGCTGCAAGGCTGCTCACCCAAGATGCCTTGTGCTGCTGGCACTTTCTCAGGAGGGCCCTGGTGTCAGCTCACTGACACGGAGTGGTCAGATGCTGGCGCTCAGACCAGCGTGCAGCCTTACCCTGGCACACACGTGCATCATGGCTTCCTTCCTGTCCCCACAACTGGTCTCAGTGCCAGATGGCAGGGATTCCATTTGAAAGTCAAGATGATTTGTTTAGAAATGGTTTTGTGATCTTATGACAGTTGGTATAGTTATAGATGTCCCAAACTGGTTAATATTTGCTTTCTAAATTCCCTATGCCTGCATGAGGGTCTTCAAGTTTGAGTATAGTTGAGGTTCTGGTTAAAGCGAAGGGAAGCAGGTCCTACTGCAGGCTCAGGCTCTCTTTCCCACATGGCTGAAACACACAGATTCATCATGGTGCTACTGCGGATACAAAAACTGCTAGGCAGCCTGATTCTAGGCATATTGTTTGGGCTGGTGAAAGCTGCCTTAAGTTCAGAGTACAAAATGGAAATGCAGGCTCCAGCCCTGCAGCCCCAGGTAAGGAATGAGGAGCTCTAGCATGTGGCCAGTGGAGAAGCAAAGAACAGGGCTCGCTCCTCACAGCACAGTTAGCTGGGATGGATCTGTTGACATCATCGCTGTGTGTCTAACTCCGAAGTTATTTTAACCTCCTTCCATTTTTCTAGATGCTGAGCTGCTGTGTTGCCAAGGAGGCAGGGAGCTGTCTGCGCTGCCTAAGTGATTCACGTGCTTCTCCGCATCCGCAACAGCCCAAAGGCAGGCAGAATGCTCCATTATGGAGGTTACGATTTGGCAAGTCATTTCTTTTGCTTCACTGGCTCTCAACCACACATCTGCAACCATCACCGGTAACGGTCCCTGTGACGCCCATGCAGGACCTATGGTCCTTACGGGGTCCCTGCCCCAGCCCCAGCTGGCTACTCCCTCCTGCGCCCACAGAATGGAAAGTGTCTGCTCTAAGCACCTGGGCTCTCTCGGGCACCTTGGCTTGCTTTCCCAGTTCAGACTTCCCGGTCCGTGCCCCAGGCTTGTCTTCCTGGTTGGTTGGCTGGTCCAAGGCTCCTCGCCGCTTCTGCCGAGTGACGGTGATCCAGGGCGGTGTGGGCTGCCCATCGGCTCCAGGCCCTGTTGCTGCAGGCAGCAGATTCTTTTCTGTGGGCAAAAGCACAAGGTTATAGAAACAGTACTGTTCCCTCTTCGGTTTCACCCTTTCACTTCCCACACAGGGAACATTACTGCTTTGGTTCAGGTTGTAAGGTGGCTGGGAGTCCCTCTGGTGAGACGATTACTTTCTTTAGGGGACTTTGTTTTCTTTGTAAAGATGTATCAGAGAGATTATGCTCCTCTACTCTGGGCCACAAACAATTAAATGCAACTGTTTCTATAGGGTCGGTCTGTACTTTAAAGCCAACTTCCTCCTAGGAATCTTTTCTGGAAGGAGGTAAGTACACAAATAGATAAAATTTCTTTAATATAATCCTGTCATTTTGGACCAGTACATACTACCTGATTCCTGCTAAAATGCTGCAGACACACTACTGATCTCTTGTCTTCTAAAAACTGTGAGTATAACCTTCTTTTTGTGGAGAGAGTAAGACCAAAAACTGGCCACAGTTGCTTTCCTTAATGTTCTAGAGAGAAAAGAAATAGTGCCTTTGAAACCATGTGTTGGCCAGGCATGGTGGCTCATGCCTTTAATCCCAACACTCTGGGAGGCCAAGGCAGGCAGATCACCTGAGGTCAGAAGTTCGAGACCAACCTAGTCAACATGGCAAAAACTCGTCTCTACTAAAAATACAAAAATTAGCCAGATGTGGTAGTGGGTGCCTGTAGTCCCACCTACTTGGGAGGCTGAGGCAGGACAATCGCTTGAAGCTGGGAGGCAGTGAGCTGAGATAGCGCCATTCCACTCCAGCCTGGGCAAAAAGAGCAAGACTCCGTATCAAAAAAACAAGAAACAAAAAGACACCATATGTTTCCTTCCACGTTAACTGTGCTTATCTTTGTGTGGTAAATTGTGGGTGATTCCCCTCCTCTTACATTTTAACAATTCTGTATTTTCATATTTTCTACAATAAGAATTTATTAACCTTTATCAATAGACAAAGGAAATCTTTGGATTAAATAAGTAGCATTTTTTTTTCTTTTTCTTTTTTTTTTTTTGAGACAGGGTCTCACTCTGACACCCAGGCTGAAGTACAGTGGTGCAATCAAGGCTCACTAGAACCTCCGCCTACCAGGCTCAAGTGATCATCCCACCTTGGCCTCCTGAGTAGCTGGGACTACAGTCATGCACCATCACACCCAGCTAATTTTTTGTAGCGATGGGGTCTCACCATGTTGCCTAGGCTGATCTCGAACTCCTGAGCTCGAACGATCTACCTGTGTCAGCTTCCCAAAGTGCTGGAATTACAGGGGTGAGCCACCTCCCCTGGCCAGTAAGTGGTTTCTTACAGGTACATCAAAAACATAGAACCCAGGTTCCCCGTGAGCCTGCTTCTGGATGTTTGCCTGCCACAGGATAAAACAAAAGCCGAAACTGATCTCCACCCACCTGGCACCTCTCCTCGGTTCCTTTCTACACAGTGTGGCTGAGTCAGCCAAGTGGCAAAACAGCTCCATTTCACAGCAACACATGCAGATGTCCAGGAGGAATCATGTCATTGTTCTCCATGACCTGATGTATTCCACCCCTTGCCCTGGTGTGTAGAGGATAGTACTCGTTTTGCCTTTGTTTCTGCTTCCAGTTCAGGCTGGAATTCTTTTCCTTAGTCCCCTGGTCACCAAGGAAGGAAAAGGGAGTGGGGCGCCACTGCGTTGTAAGCTACAGTCTCCTGCTGGGGGTGAGAAGAGTCTTCAGCCTCACACACCTAGGACCTCCCCTGGCCCTGGCAGCCAGGATGGATTCCACTCCTTTTTCTGGCTGCTCCCTGGGGCCTCCACCTGACTGGCCCCCTGGGAATTCTGCTCCACCTCTTGGACTCATCCTACCCCGCTCCTGACTCTTCAGTCTCTCCCACTGATGTCTTTCCTGTAGCTTTGCAGAATGCTTGGGTCTTCCATAGCTTGAGCTTGAAAGAAGTCTCCACAGAGCCTCACTGTCTCCTAAGGCCTCCTCCTCTACCCTTAGCTCAAACGGCCTCTGCCGCTGTCTTGTCAGCCAGTTCCTGAACCAGCCACGAGATGACACCACTCTCCATCCTCCCAACCACCCAACCCCAAATCCCAAGGCATTGCCTGGTCCTCAACCTGCTTCACTCCTGCAGCTCTGACGTGGTTGCACATCCTCTCCCGGGGATGGGGGCAGCTGTCTTCCTGGGGCATCCCTCCGGCCTCTGAGGCCCTTCTCTAGGTCCTTGTCTGACTTTTGTTCCTAACCAGGAACTCCTGCTTGCGCCTGACCCTCGGCCGTCATTGCTTGCTCCCAGTGTTTTCTCTTCTACTCCTGATCCAACAGGCAGAATTGCTGAAGTTACTAAAACTTCCTAGCGTACAATCCAGCCCTACTTTCTATTCCTAGCCAGAGCCCAGCATTTCTTTTTTGTTTCGCTTTTCTTCTTTCCATTCATTCAGTATTTGCTGCGGGCAAGGACTGCCTCATATTTGAGGTGGGAAAACAAACAACAAATTGTTCCTTCAAAAAGCTCAAAGTCTAATTGGAGAGACAAGATACAAGCAAGTAACTGGTAGAAACTAGAAAATGCTAAAATGTCCAAAGGGCTATGTGGACACAGGGCCTAACACTGGTGAATGGGAGTAGGGGTGCCTTTGGGGTGGGGGTCTGAAGAGCAATCTTCCCGGCTGGGGGTGGGGGCAGGAGGAGCAGTAACGTAGACCAGCCCTGAGGAAGGGTCTTTTCTGTCTTTTTTCTTTTTCTGTCCGTAATGGGGAAGCTGTGGGAGTTTCAAACCATGGGCTCACTCTGGAGGTGCTACGGAGAGTTAGTCTGACTGCAGAGGGACGAGAGGCTAGGAGGAAGCTAGGAAGGAGGCTGTGGCCACAGCTCAAAAGAGGCGACAAGAGCTTGGATATCTTGTTCTAGAATCCTCCCTGCTGGTTCACCAGGGACCCCAGGTACCACCTCCTGCGTTAAGTCTGTTCTGGTCAGCCTCTCTCCTCATTACTCTGTAACCTCTTGAGACACTTGCCTCACCGTGTCTGGAACCAGACATATTTGCTAGTTCACCATCTACCCAACTGAAGTATGCCTTTGGTCATAAGCATTTCTTATCTACTGAACAAACATATGCCACAGACTATATACCAGGTGCAGTTCTAAATGTTGAGCTTGGCAAGAGGTAAATTTTTCTTTCATCAAGAGCATGTTGGCAGAATTCCATCCCAAGCACAGAAGAGTCACCTGCTGCTGCCTGTCTGTGGGGTAGGAATGTTTCCAGCTGTACTGTGTGTGTGTTTAAGCGTGTGTCTGTGTTCACGTGAAGACTCGCAGGAATGAGTGGGTGCCCTGGCTGGGCCAGGCCATGCTGTGGGATGAGGCACCTGCAATGGCAGTGTCTCCAAACACTGGGCCAACTTTTGACTACACCACCACTTCTCTCCTTTTTGGTTCCCTGCCGCTTTCCCTGAAACTGCTTGTCTTTCCTTTTATTCTGTATTCTCTTCCTACCTTCTTCCTTGTCAGGAATGGAAGAGGGCCCTTGTAACCTCCAGACCCTGTTACAGGTACTGTCCAGGGCCACTCTCACAGGTAGAGGAGTGAAAGAATAGCGAATGAGGGTCTAGACACCAGGAAACAGGGAGAAAACTCACTCAAGCTCCCTAATGTAGTTCACAGATGCCTGAGATTCCACCTGGAGCCTCTCAGCAGATAAGCTGAGAAAGGGGTCGTGGGCTGAACCTCACTGTCCACAGTGCTGAGCCTCAGGGAAGCTGCACCTTTGTCCCCAGTAAGCACAGGCAGAGCAACTGTGTGATGAGCCATTCTGCTCTGTGGCAGGGGCCTGGGAGGCCTCTCCGAACTGTATGCTCGCCTCCTGTGCTTGGCACCCATACTGGGTGTGTAGGAGCTCTGGGATCTGTGCCATACTCCACCTGGGGAGGGCAGGAGAAGGGGCTGAAGTCCCTGGCAATGTGCAGGGTAAGGCAGGCTTCAGGGGCCAAAGACCCTTATAATGTGATCGCTCAAGCATGAGCATCCAGGGTCAAGGCTACACGATAAAATAGCTTCTGAGATTAAACATGTTCAAAATGTCATCAATCCCGGGATAATGTAGATGTGGCCTCAGTTCAGATAAATCAGTTGAAAACACTCCTTTGTTTACCTCTTCCTGCCTCCACACACAGACAACCTTAATCTCCCAAGGATTTGGCTAAAGACTCTGACATCTCAGTATCTCCTCCCCAACTGACAATGAGTTTCAGCTGTCAAGTGTGCCTGGGTTTGCAACCAATAGCCCAGGAGCATTTCTCACAGACCAGGGACCAGCAATTCCAGGTCTTTATCTGTGTGATCACCTTTGTGGATTGTGGAATAGCCTGACTCCGCAGGGCAGCAATCTGGTCTGCTGCAGAGCAGATGCATCATGACACCTCCAAAGGCAAGGTGCAGAGTGTGCAGGAAGTCGGGACAGCCACAAAGCTCCCCCAGCTTAACTCGAAGGAAAACAACTTCTGATCAGATAAAATATTGTGTTGTCAGTTAAGGAAAGAATTCCTTCAAAGGAGCCGGTAGTAGGCTTGCTCTTCTCCAGATTCCTCCTCCTTAACATGCCCCCTGCAGCCCAGGATTGATTGTGAAAAGGACATTGCTCCAGCACTAACTTCTGAGGGCTCCTGTTCTTGGGGTTGGGCTCAATGGGCTGTGCTGATGAAGAATGCTTCCTCCCTGGGGCCAGGGCAAGGGAGCTGCTAACGATGTGGCCCTGGGGCCTGCAGAACTAGCTTAGGGCCTCCGGCTAGTGCTCTTAGGCAACTTCCAGAACCTCCCTGAGACTTGATTTCAGTGTAAAACTGAAGAAAACAGAAGTCTCTACACCTCCCAGTCTGACTGTAAAGATTCTGTGAGATAATCCACTATTTATACCTCCCCCTGCGGTTATGAAGATTTCAAGATAACCCACTATCTACCTTTGCCAATGTGGTGTGACGACTCCATGATATAATCCATGACCTATGCCTCCCAGTGTGGTTGT